GCGAAAGGGCCACACCTGGCTACTGACGGCCCAAGACCGTTTCAGCAAGTGGATAGAGCTGGTACCTCTGCGACAGGCCACGGCTCCCACTCTCACCCGCGAAATTACAAGGCGAGTCATCTACCGGCACGGGTGCCCGCAACGCATCATATCGGACAACGGAACGCAGTTCACATCACGACAATTCCGGACCATGCTCGACTCCTTCGGGATACGACACCAGACCGCGCCGGTGTACGCACCGCACTGCAATCCGGTGGAACGAGCCAACCGGACGATCAAGACCATGATCGCGCAGTACGTCCAGGAACGTCACCGAAACTGGGACGAGCATGTCGACGCTCTACAATTCGCCGTAAACACCGCGCGGCACGAGGTCACCGGATATACGCCGGCCTTCCTTACTCATGGCCGAGAACTGGCCAGGCCGGATCCGCGCGACCGCCGGATACCGACCAACTCTAGGAGCCCGGAGGACGTCCGCCGACAACTCGACGAGGCCTTCAAAGTCGCCAGGATCCACTTGGCACGCGCCTTCCAGCGACAGAAGCGCCTGTAACGTCCCGTAAAATTTCTGAAAAATAAAATAATCAATTAGTTGTCAGTAGAAATATATCCTCAATTATTAAATTGCATGACCAAATATAATCTAGTAATTTAAGATTATAATATTTAAGGTGGATGTCCCGGAATAAATAAATTTAATTATCTTTAAATAATAATGCTATCGTGAAACATAAGGTTTCATCAATAGATTATAAACGTTAAATTCTCAATTGCTAATTATCCAGTAAATTCAAAGCTATATAATTTATTCTCGGATCTCTAACCTTACCTTATTCGTTTATTAAAATTTACTTTCCTTGTAATAAATACACTAAGGACAGAAATCTATAAATATATTCATACATTAATAATGAATCTAGTCGCTTTAGAGTCATATTTAAATTATAATACTATGACGGGAGAGTAAAGACTTAGTTATCGACTATGAAACATAAACCGGTAAAACAAACCTATTGGAATACATTGAGAAAAATTATAAAATTCTATTAACAGATTTCTAGCCTTAATGTATAGGAAGCAATTCGAATCATCGACAAAATCTACATTACAACCACCATTATGTGTGCATATAAATTGTACAACGCAGGCAATTACAATTTACGATCTTCAACAATATCGCAATTACTTGAATTTTAATCTTAACGCGCTAAAAACTAACGCAAAATTAATATTATTAGAGAAGGGTGATTGAACTAATCAGTTGAATAATAAATATATATATTCTAACAATATTATAAAATATAAAAATATAAAATTAGCGAATATATATAATAAATTTATACAATATAAAATTATAAAAAAAAAATAAAAGATTGACATAATATAAAAATATAGTATATAAAAATATCTAAACAAAAATATAAAATTGTCGCAAGTTATATCTTAATAGGCCCAGAAATCCAAAACCTGGCACGTAGTTTCCGTATTA